TTAAATTCCAAAAGATTTCACAATTCGAAAATAATTGAAAAATACTATTTTAATAATAATCTTAAAAATGAAAAGAAAAATAGAATTTCTCCTCTATATTTTAGTACGAATTCGAATTAATTGAATACTAAATTCCAAAAGATTTCACAATTCGAAAATAATTGAAAAATACTATTTTAATAATAATCCTAAAAATGAAAAGATAAGATAAGGAATTTCTCTATATCTTGATACGTATTCGCGTGGTGATTGGCCGCCGAGATCAGTTTTCCAATCCTTTAAAAATCGAGAAGAACAAGATCCTTGCGAACCTCGACACGAATTCACTTTTCACGACTCGAAACTAATCCGAAATTGCGTCCATTTCCAGGCGTGTACACCGGCGAGAGCCACGTTCACGGCCACGAGATAACGATACCCCGAAAAGTGAGCAACCGAGGCGAGCTTGTCTCGCACAACGTGACCCATCACCATCACGAGGACGGGCCAGTGGTTCACTATCGATTATCGGTGGCCGGTAACGAGTACCACATCGAGCTGGCCGCCGTGGACAAGTTCATCGGGCCTGGGATGGTCGTCGAAAGACGGAAACGTAACGTGCACGTGCGCGCCAGGCCAAAAAATACGTCGAGCAAGTGCCATTATCGGGGTTTCATTCGGGGACATCCGAATTCCCGGGTCGCCTTGTCTGCCTGCGACGGTTTGGTGAGTTTTACTCCTTCCCCCCTCCATCCTCTTTATCTCTTTATCCTCCTTCTTTCCACCGTCTCTTTCGCTTACTTTTCCCACTGATCGATTGGATCGACGGATTTCTCGATTTTTCTCGACAAACTCTTCGATTGGATATATATAATATGTTGAAAATTTGCGCGACGAGAGAAGATTCGGATCATATCGGTTTCCTTTGATTGGCGTTTTGTAACTCGAGAGGCGAGTTGCACAAAAAAAAAAATTATTATCGATAATTTAAATGAAAATAGACGTTTTGAGATCCGTTTTATTAGAATTGAAATTTAAATGCTTGTTTAATACAAATTTGCAATATTTTAATTATCGATTAGTATCTCTGCCTATACACTCACGTATTTTGTTCAATCTGTAAACTTTGTTTAAAAGAGGAAAAAGTCATCGGAACGAGGATAAATAAATAAATAAATCGATCAACGTTTTTATGCGGAGTTAAATTTTCCACGATGATAATAGAAAAGAAAAGAAAAGCGAGATTAACAAAGATGATTATTATTATCGTATACATACGAGTTATAAGAGCGAGAAAGTATTTGGAAAATAATAAAGAGAGATAAAGAGAGATAAAGAGAGATCGGTAATACTCGATGAACAAAGAATTATCTCGTAAGTGGAATAAGGCAACGAAAAATATCACCGGTCGCGGCTGATAAATCGTACGGATCCTCTACTTGAATTTTCATATCGACCCAGATACGTCGCTTTGTCTTTGTTCGATTGTTATATCGCTTATTATTTTTTTTTTCTTTCGTGTGAGTGTTAAATATTATCCACGATTGGCAAGAAATATTTAATAAATAAAAAAATTGTTTCGAAAAAGTTTATAGCAAGTCCTCCTCCTTGCCAACGTAACCACGGATTTACAAGAGCTTACGTATATGCTTTATAACGCTGTTGCTAAGTAAAGAAAATACACAAGTAAGTGAATAACACAGTATACACTCGCAGAGGATAACCCCAGTTAATAAGATTTAGTTTTTTAATGTTGCTCGTGAGATCAAGTAACGTGCCATTTTCCTTAAAAAAAAAAAAAAAAAAATAACACACCAAATGTAAAATTCCATTTTCCTTCTAATAAGTCGTTCACTTTATCTCAATTATTATTAAACTCTTATTATTTTACGAATAATTATTTTATTCTCAAAAATCCGTTGAGAATTTTTTAAAAATATTCGACCACCTCTCGATAAAATTCGTACAAACGATCATTTAGGGCGATCTTCCGCCAATTTCTTCCGCTCCTGGCCGCTCGTGTCCCCCACTTGGGAAACAGTGTGTTCCAATTGGCCAAACCAGATGCTCGAAGCGTCCTCTAGTCACGGCTAGATTCGGCTCGGTGAAGTTACGTTTCCAAGTCGGCCAGTGTCGAAAGGGAACGATTTCGAGCCGCAAAATGCCGAAATTTACGAATATGAACGTACACTTGCTCCTCGACTCCATCTGGTGGGAGAACTGTGCTCACTCGAGAAACTCGAGCAGAAGTTGCTTGAATAAAGAGAAGGAGAAGGAAGAGTGTACGGCGTGGAATCGTTGTAATAAAAGAAACAGCGGAGAGAGAAGATGCACGGTTGGATGAAGCAAGACTGTCGATACTTTCGGTTTGAACGTACGTTGTAATAATTCAGAGGGAAAAGGATGGAGAGTTTGAAACGAGGAGAAAAGGAACGTCTAAAGCAATAATAGAAAACAAAGGCAGGAGAGAAAAAAGTAGACGCGTTGCTTAGTTGCAATGATTCAGACGGATGAAGAAAAAGAGAGGAATGCACGATGCGATTCAAAGTTGGTTGCGATAATGCGAGGAAAAAGGAAGGACAAAGGAGAACGCGTGTGAATACTGCACATTGATAGAAGAAAGAACGAACGTGCGTGGACTCGTGGCAAAAAAGCGTGGCGCAAAGAAGGAAAAGCTGAAGGTTCTGAAAATAATCGCGTTAATACGGGAAGAATGAAAGGAAGAAAGGAAAGGCACGGAGAGTGTGAAACGAGAAGAACAATGGGAAAAAGGCGAAGAGCAAAGGCGGAGGAGGAGTATAAGGAGAAGAGAGAGAGAGAGAGAAAGGATGGAGAAGGAAGGAGGGAGATAGCACGATGCATGCATCGGCGCAATTTGCTCCCAGCTTCCAGATAATGATTTAATTTGCCATACCTTGGCAGATTTATGACGGCGCACCTTCGACCGTCTACCTGCGAGCGCATGCCTATTCTATATTTCTAGCGTCACCTCGTGAACGTAATCAGCTCCCAGGCAAATTCGAGTACCGTCGTTTATGTCGGAAATAAATCTACCCTCGGACTTGCACCGTATTCTTTCCAGTACCAACATTCCGTGATATTTATCTCGTTGGAAATTCGTCGAGAATTGAATACACGATTCCTCTTTCTTCTCGCAATTGTGCGAAAACACTTTTTTAATCGAATGTTAATAAATTACGTATTTATAAAGAATCGAAATTTTCATCTTTCGAACATTAAAACGTGTAAATTATTCTTCCTTTTTTACAATTGCATAAAAATTTCGTGATATTTATCTCCTTGGAAATTCGTTGAAAATACGTTCTTTTCACATTCTTAATCGAATGTTAATAGGATCGAAACCTCGACTTTCGACGTGTATTAAATTATTCTTCGATCGTTTCCATATTCCTTCTTACAATCGTATAAAAAATCCATTCTCGCCGAGTGAAAATTAAACATCGACAATGTTGCCAACGATTGCCCTCGCACGCGCTGAAAACTAACGCAAACAACATCTAATCAAGCGTCCGTTATTTCGCGTCCGTCGCCCTCTCAAAGAGATTCAAACCCGGCAACGTTGCCCGCCTGTACGAGCCTCTCCCCCCTCTCTGCCCCGCTTTGATCCCAATATCATCGACCCGTCCAATAAACGTAATGCCAGGCTTTGAAACGTCCGTGTAAGCCACTCAAGGTAACAAAGGGATCACGGTGGGCGCGGCATCTTGCGGGGACAGCGGTGGAAAAGGGTGGGATCGGGACGTCAAATTCAATTCTAAGCGGTCGAAACCGACGGTGCGGTGTTGCCCCGTGGAATTAATCCGCCGTATAATACCATTACACGAGCGGAGCCCTGAAATTACCCGAAATGTTACGCGTATCCACCGCCAATTACAGGTCGCGCTGCAAACGCTCTCGAAACGATTACTTCATTTACATGTCCCGTAAATAAGCGTTTGCTCTCCCACCAGAGGCCGGATCCACGCGGTCCACCACGCCGGACCGAAAATTACTATTCGAGGACGACTGTTAATCGCGCGAGAATCAGGCAAACAGATTTCGACGATGGTTCGGCTCGATGGTTTATCGTCGGCAAATTAATACGTCAAGGGTGATTGTAATTTCGTAGAATGTAGCGATCATTGGAGAATTTACGTGGAAGGAAGAGGGAAAGTCGAAGTCGATACTCGTGAGATTAGGGTTAGGTAGAAGAAGAAATCTGAAAAGATTTCGACTGTAATTTATCATCGATCATTGCGTCCAATATGCAATAGTATTTGTGATTTAATAATCGTGATGTTTATTGGAATTCCCCATAAGGAAAAGTTAGGTTATGATTTGTCTTAGTTCTTCGAGAAGATCTAATAAGACTCTGTAATTTATTGTTATTGTGTTCAATATGCAGTAGTATTATGATTTAATAATCGTGATGCTTATTGGAATTTCCATAAGGAGAATTAATGAAAATTAGGTTATGATTTGTCTCGAGGAGATTCGAAAAAACTCTGATAGATTTGGTTACGAATTTGAGTTGAATTTGGAGAAAAAGATGGGATAGTAGATAGGAAAGGATGAAAATACGATGGTAAACGACATTTGTAAATTTTAAAACACCGAGCGTCTGTTTAAAAATTGAGGCCATGTTTTACCGTGCACGCGGAGAACCTCTGCAACAACGATAATATTTCAACGAAAAAATTCATCTGGAGAAACAGCGGTGGAGCTGAAGCAATTTTTCCGTTTTTAAGGACGCAATAAATATTTTCGATACACACAGGAACCACCAGTTTATTCCGGTTGAACGTCTGAAAACGGGTAATTCGTATTATTAACCATCCTTTAACTCCTTATGCGTGCAATTCTTTCTATTAATTTTTCTAGAAACGAGAAATTTATACAATACAATAAGTACGACACATTTCATATATTTCATAATAACGGTCAACGATATTACCTTTGCACTCGTATATCGCCATATCGCCATCTTACATTAGTAAAATTAAATATATGTATAATATAATTACATTCTAGGGACATTTTTTTTTACTTGATTGGTAACTTTCTTAAATATATAAATACGAGTGCAAAAGTAGTTAAAAATGATGTTAATGATCCGATATCGATATTGACGTTGATTCAAACCTCTTAACGGTTCATCATATCGAAATTGTATTTGGTCCGACTACTTCAAAGCTATAAGATGGAACAGAGGCTTACATCGATTAGCGTCGGTAATGATGGACTCTTTGAGGCCGGTAATCTACTGTTAAATTGAACATCTGTTCGAGCTTTGAATCGAATTGAATGAAGCAATTATTAAGGAACGATCGAACTTTCAGGCATCGAAACTTTGACTTACTTTATAAAATCGAAATTGAACGTCTGTTTGATCGCAAATTAACTTCGAAGAGTGAAGAGAAATAATAACTGTTAGGCCCACGCGCCAGATCGATAACGTCGACAGTAAGTGCTAATCCGTTTCACGAAAGCGTAATCCGAATCTTCGAATCCGATTAATCGTAAACTGTTTAACCGTACGAGCGGATCAAACTTTTACGACGATCTCTCTCTCTCTC